GTTTATCGCTTATCTTACAAGCACGATCACTAGAATTATCCCATGAAATTGCCGTAATGCATGTTAATCTCCCGTGATTAGTAAATGTCGCAGAAACGTTATCTATGCTTACGAAGATAATTCTTTATACATGACACGTGATGCGCTGTGAACGAATTGCTTAGTGGATGCTGCGTGGTTTTATGAGACTAGACGATACCACTCGAAACTTGAGCATCAAGTTATCTTACTTGATAATACATTAAAGTTTATTCTGAATATTAAATTCGCAATACACATACTGTATGTTTTAATCACATGAATTTAGATAATATACCTGCTTTTTTATTAATTACATATTTTCTGCACTGTTATTCGCCTTCAAGTCTTTTTATGAAAACTTTTTATGAAAAATTGTTTATTAATAATATTAATTAATTAACAAGAGTAACGGATTTATATAATAAAGAATCAATGTACAAATTTATAAAAAAATTATGCAGCCACGCCAATAGTTTTCATCTAAATAAGAAAATTAAAAAGATTGTAAATATTATTTTTAATACATTAAATAAAAAAATCAATGTTACTTTAGAAATATTGGATTGTCCGGAAAGTTCGTGCCGATTTTGAAGGAAAATTGAAACGCAGAAGATTTAAGTATACATTTATTTTTAGTACACATTTATTTTAGTATACATTTATTAAATTTAAATCTTTTGCGGCACGAACTTTTCGGACAACCCAATATATGATATAAAAGAAATATACGATCATAACATTTTTATAGTATGATATAAAAAAAGGATGTTGTTTTATAAAACGTTTAAAATTGATGCATGTTGATGCATTGAGGAGAAATAGAAAAGCAAATGAGAGTAGAAAATATAGTTAGGATGAATAGATTTCCCCGAGATTTTCCTTTTTGTAAATGCAAGTCACATGTATGCTATATAACGTATAGCTCGCATGCGTACCAGATGTTTCGCATCGTACCGTTTATAGACAATTAAGTTACGCAACGGTTCACCAACTCATGGTTTATTTGATCATCTTAACGAGCGCGAGTTTTGAGATCATAAATTTTTTTAAAGATCTTTGAAATATCGAATGTCTAATTTCGCAGGTTAGAATTATGATGATTTATCACTGCCGTATACTCTGTAAGTCTGTACAATAAATTTTTGTACGTTATTTAACTCATTGATCTGTAACTTTTTTATTAACACAATCCATTCGCGTTTCGAGCTTGACAGGAGCCAACGAGGAATAGACAGGAGTACGTTCTTTTCCAATGTTACATACATGTAATCATTTACAGCATAATTGCTACTTCCCAATTGCTTCATCCCGCGTGATCAAAGAGATTCGCTCGTCATTAATCACGCGACTCGACCTCGATTCACCGACAGCCGTAATAAGAAACAGGTACGTCAAGTGGTATGTTATGATCATTAGATGTGACATGGCTCCTCTTCTGATCAACCGTTCGTCGCAACATTAAACATTGTCTCCGGTATGCGGTGATAAAGGAGCGTCATAGAATTTTTGTTTGAAGACTTCGATCTTTGATATAAACGTCTCGAGACGCGATGTCATCACCTCGCTTCCGAGTCTCCTTAATCACCATCTGATTAGGTGGCGACCAGCTGCACTTGGCTTATGATTCAAGTAGTCGCTTGATCTTTAATCTGGCGATATCCTATGCAGCTTAAATGATTCTAATCTTCGCGTCTTCTATTTTTAAACTCGTTCTTTGAAACTTGCGCTTTGAAATATCGCCGAACCTTTCCCTGTTCTTTTATAAAAGTTTTTATATTTACCGACGACATTTATCATATTTGCTGTTGTATAAATTCTCATTTTTAGTCGCTTTATGTTTGGATAAACTAAGACAATAATAATCGTCTTCTTTATTTTGAAGACATTTTAAAAGTCAACGATAAAAGTCAAAGATAATCGCAACATAAGAAAATTTCTCGATTGTATTTCTAGAAGACTTTCAAGGATTTCTAGAATTCTCGAGATATAAGAGAAAAGATCTTTGACAGACGCGGCAGAAATTGAAAGAAGATATCTTACCTATCAAGTTATTGGCTGTAACAATAATGCAGCAAAGAAACAGAATGGCCGACGTGATCCTGTAATGCATTCTGAAGACCATGTTGTCGATAACAGCCTTGTCGATCAAATATCGTACCTTGACGAACCCGGCGACCGCCGAGACCAAGCCAAATACCGCCATTTTCGTTTAATCTGTAAAAAGACGAAATGCTTCATTTTTTATCATCATCGACAGAATTGTCAATGAACGAGAATTAGCTTAAAATAACGGTAATATTTTTTGTCACTCCATTTCATAAGCTCCTGATTTTTATTTTAGCAATCGAGTTTTAAATTAACATTCCGCCAAAGAGACGCACACATAAAATTAAATGAAATAAAACTAATTTTATCATTATTTTTATTTCCGATGCTTTGTTTATGGAAAACGTTTCATTTCTGATCTTGTAACTCATAATTAAAAAAAAAACATTGACTGCTGAAATTTTCTCTAGAGAGAAAAATAATACAGAAATATGTCAGCAAATTCGATTGTGTTATTATTATTCTAAAAGGACACAAAAACGTTAGCGTTCATATGTGATTCTTAGATATTATGGAAATGAATTCAGCAAAACAGTCGAGAAGTACGAATGAAGCAAAGGCTGTTTTCAATTGACGAGCAATCAGATTATATTCCCGTTATGTATAATGAATGCCACGCAGCTGATTGATCGTGATTAGAAGTGCGTTTCATTAACTCAAACGGCGAGGGGTAGCATTAGCATTCTTATCATATAAGTCAGTAATTTATAGTGACTGAATTGTGCAAGCATTGCTTGAAAGAAAAACGAGGTTACGCCGAGTTCTATGCTAATCGTACAGTAGATCACCTCATAATTAATTCAATTACAGGTTCCGGTAGTAAACTCCATGGCAAACTAGATTCCATATCAATCAATTAATCTTATCCGATTCTAATTTTTTGGTAACAATTATCGGTTTAAGGAGTTAATTGAATTTCGCGAAAGACAAGTTTTTAAAATATAAATTAACAGTAAGATTCGATTAAACTGGTCACTTGTAAATTAGACAAAATATTAACTCTATCAATCGATTGCAGCTCCGTGTCAAAACCTTGTTTGAAAAATTTGTAGAAAAACTCAAAACTGAGATGAGAATTCAAGAGATAACTTTAGGAATTAGCAGTTTTTTTCGTTAACTTCCCATTTAAGGTTGCCAGCAGTTAACAACGAATCCAATGCTTAGCTAATGGTACTATCAACCGACGACCAAGATTCTGTCAATCAGTACTGGGCCATCAAATGATTGGCTGTCAATCAATGACGATCAAAGTTTCATTAACCAGTAGATAACCAATATTAGGCCATCACTGGCAAATCACTGGCTAAAATAACTGAACTAGTACCATTACTGGACTAGTACCAGTTACTATAATAATTGCCAGTACTGCAGGCTCAAATTGTCATCCTTACTCAGTCAATATTGGGAAAATAATTTGCTTTTACTAGACCAATTGTAAAATGGCCTATATGGATTCCTTTCTGCAGATAAATTTTGCAGATAAATTCTGATTGCAGACAATTGTCACCCACCTCACGACAACTATTCCCGTTCCTTTTTTTGAACAAAAGGAAGTGCTTCGCCGCGATTCCATTCAGCGAGATTGTCGCGCTAGTAACGCGGGATGACGCGATTTCGTGCTGTTTTCCCCTGTGTCGCCCTTTCGAATATCCATCACGAACCCTCGACGAAAAAGGTTCCCTCACCTCCCCGATGTATGTGTCCATAGTAATAACGTCGTGCGCGCGACCGGAAATGGCAGATGTGTATGAGAAGATCGATATGTGCAGAGAGAGCGCGACAGAAGAACACGTCCTAAGCGCCACACACCTCGACCCGTAGATTGTCTCAGGAAACAAAAGCCCGATGCGACCGGGTTGCCTCTCTTCCCTCTCGTTTTCGTGGTCATCGGATTTCTGGAACATGTGCTTGTTTTTACCTCGGGAATCACCACTTGATCGCACATATTTTGCAGAAATTGCATTTGCAACAAAGATTGATCTTCATGGAACCCAGAAACGATTTTAAAAGTTATCTCTCTCATTTTTTGACAATCTTAGATGAATTCGAAAGAATAATATGTAAAAAAAATTTAGAACCGTGCTGGTTAAATAATAATTTTTCAATTTCTTTTCATCTTTTAAATAGAGAATTAATAAGTTAAATCTTCTTCAGTTTCTTCAGAAAAAGAAATTGATGTACGAAACTTTTTATCTCGAGCTTACGTTTTTATCTCGAGGTATTGTGGCTTTGTGGCTCTCCTGCTTTTCAGTGTAATCGCGCGTGATTATAATGGAAGCATAGAAGGCTAGGCTTTACCCGACTTGCGTTAATATACGCGCATCTGAAGAACACGCTCGTTATTCCGCGGTCACGAGAAGTATATTCTCGTTAATGCATGACGTAATGTGATTAATTAATCTCATGACATATAAAGAAATAAAAGCGCGTATAATAAAAGCATCTGGTACATAGTTATTATTACATAAAAGAATTAAGTGATAGATAATTACAAAAATAAACTATAGTATTACTTCATAATAAGAAAATTAATTAAGTATGTCATAATTTGTAAAAAATACAGTTTTTCAGAATAATGTAGTTCGTAATAAAGTTTTAACAATTTCACTGAATTCCAATGTTCAGATGCTTGTCTCTCTTTACAAAAGAATATTTGGAGCGACAAAGTATTTTCCACAAAAGACGAATAGATTTAGAGACGAATAGATGAACTCGTATCTTTACTGCTCGCGTCGGAATTTTATTATTTAAATTAGTTGAGTCAGAACACGTGCCTTTGTGAGAAGTCGATCCGCACGAGTCTTTTAAAGAGAACATTCCCGCAAAATCAAAACGGATTGTAAGATTGCGAACTTAGTTGGACTTTGTCATTTAAAGATGCTAATTTCATATATACACGTCGAATATGTGAAATTTCGATTCGTCAGCAGATTTACCAATCGTAGTGCATCGTTCGCAAGAACTTTAGATCGAATTTCATACATTGATAGAAATTACTCTTCTTTTTAACAAGCCCTAACAAGCCATTGTTATTTTTGGTTACCTTTCACACTGGCCACATCAAGTTTTGTGAAGGTCTGCAACTTTATCACGCTACATCTCTGGACTGAATACGTACTTTTTAGCTCAAAATTTATACCTCATATAAAATTTATACCTCGAAATCAAACAAAGACAGATAAATGACTCAAATAAATAATATGTTATTTTCAATTAATTACAAGCGTCAAAGAAATTTTTATTGGAAAAATTCGTAAAAAATGATTACTTTGGAAAAAAATTCTAAAATGTTTAAATTTAATCCGGGTCTTCAAATTATATTATAAAAACGTTACAGCAATGTAAAATATCGCATAAAGTCCGTTGAATTCATAAGTGGTTGGCTTAGGTTAATTATATATTAATTATATATTTTTAATTATATATAATTTATTTACTTACTGCGTTGCATGATTCTATCTCGAAATAAAAACTAATTATATAGAACCCATCAAATCTAGATATTATCTAAATGAAAACGTAGGCGGTTGCACGTATATAATTTTCTTCTTGCGATATTCCGTTACGTAGAACAATTTCGCGAAATTAATACAGCCTAATTGTCTCATAATCGCCTTCAATGACAAATGCTTTTTTGTATGTCTCCTTTACAACTGCGAAGCCTTCGAAGCATGTTATCAGCAACGATCGTACTACGAATCGTGAGAAAAATAAAACAATGTTTCATACGGTATTTTCTCGGAGACATACAAATTTTTAAGTGCCTCCGTCATGCCTTCTCGTGACATTCGTACCGAGGGAACCAGTCAAGTTAAACCAGTTGGCTGCTGCTGGTTTCTCGGATAGAGTGGGGTACAACTACGTAAATTGAATGACGACGACGACGACGACGACGACGACAAGAAAGGCCAATACCCTTTTACATATCTCGCCTTGATTAATCATATTTCTCGAATTACCGCGATGAACTATACGTGACATTTGAAAATATATATTGGAAAATATATTGGATAATAATTTATGGACTTATGCAATTTCGCGAAGAAAACCACATTTACTATTATATTGCGAATGGCGGTGACATAAAAATAATTATTTATTGTTATGCAAATTCTTTGATTTTATTACCTCGTTCTTTACTATGTAATACATTTGTGTGTATTGTATTTATTCTATTTGTATTTCTTTTATTTGCTATTATTTTATTTATTATTTAATCCGCGTATTATTTGTTAATTTACATTAAAAAGTATATGTATCACTATTTCAATGTTGTAACCATAAAATCGTTTTGATTATACATCTCTAGTTAGAACACGATTTTTACGGCGTTGCGTAATCGTAGATACGGTTTATACCGAGCGAAAAGAGGTTTATGTTCTATTCGTCGTGGCAATAAATCCTGTCGTGAACACGAAGTGGAATTTTGTCGTCACCGCTCGACGCTTCTGTTCATGACTAAAGTTTTAGTTACTAAATCAAGCGAATTTTCACGAACTATTCAACTCGAAAAGAATAAAATATCACATGTAATTACACATATCCATTCTTCTTTCTCTTGCATCATCAGCATCTAAAAATTATGAATCTCAGTAATTATATTACTGCATTTATGCAGTTATATCATCGTTATTGTAATAATAAAGAATTACCCGCGTTAATTTTGACATTTTCTTTTTTTATTTTCCAGGCGATCGATTATTCATTTTATTCATTGAAATTTCTGCAAATTGCATCATTAATCTAACTGATGAGAGAAATACTATTGGATAAGGCGTTAAACGTTACTTCTAAATGAGCGGCGCATAACGCAGCTCCGCGAATTCACTGGTCGACGTGGATTTCTGAAGAAGGCTTTCTTCTCACGATCGTCGGTGCTGCTGCGGCTCGAATCTCGTACGAATTGTCTGTATCAGGTTACGGATGCAGAAAACAGGTTTGGGATCGCGCGAGACCGCCGCCGTCGCTGCCGATGCGCCGGATTCGAGTTGCTAATATACGATCGAAAAAAATGGAGACTCTTTGTCCGCGACAGATCCGGGATTTCGTCCGCAGCGTCGCAAAACCTGTGGTTTTTGCGAAGCGGGAAAAGAAAGGCAGAAGTAAAA